CTTTCGCGCTGAGTTCGCGACTGTTTCTGCGCAAGCTCTGTTCTGTGTCGTCCTCCTCCTCCTCCTCTCCTCTCCTCCTCCTCCTCCTCCTCCTCCTCCTCCTCCTCCTTCCTCCTCCTCCTCCCCTCCTCTCCCTCTCCTCTGCCTCTATGCTTTTTTTGTTCAAAAATATGTTTCATTGTTTTTTCTCCGCCGCCCCCCCCCCCCCCCCCAGAACTGTGTATATATATATATATATATATATATATATATATATATATATATATGCATGTATATAAAATAGATGGATTGTTGTTCCTGGGGGGGGGGGGCGCCAGGAGAAAAAGCAGGAGTGCGACGTGGCCGCGTCTGCCTTCCCCCCTAGAAGGATTCCTATTGAACGCCCCCATAAGAAGGATTCACAGTGAAATCCTCGACAGAAGGGTTCCTATCGAAACCCTCCACTGAATGATTCCGACTAAAAACCTCCACACGTGGATTCTTAGTGACACCCTCCACTGAAGAATTCCTACTGGAATCCTCGAATGGCAATGGCAATGGCAATGGTAATGCTGATGGTAATGGTAATGACAGTGGTAATGGTACTGGTAATGGTAACGGTAATGGTAGTGGTAACGGGGTATCGAGGCAATGATAATGGCAATGGCAACGGTAATGGTAATGGTAATGGCAATGACAATTGCAATGGGAATGGCAATGACAATGGCAACGGCAATGGTAATGGCCATGGCAATGGTAAGGGTAAAGGTAAAGGTAGAGGTAAAGGTAATGGTAATGGCAGTGGCACTGGCAGTGATAATGGTAATGGTAATGGTAAAGGGAATGGGAGTGGGAAGTGGGAGCGAGAACGGGAATGGAAATGATAGTGGTAGTGGTAATGGTAATGGCATTGGTAATTGTAATGGTAGTGGGAATGGAAATGGTAATGGTATTGTGAATGGGAATGAGAATGGGCATTCTAATGGTAATGGCAGCGGTAATGGTAATTGTCATGGGACTGGAAATGGACACGGTACTGGCAATGGTAATGGTAGTGGCGAATGGCAATGGCAATGGCAATGGCAATGGCAATGGCAATGGTAATGGTAATGGTAATGACAGGGGTAATGGTATTGGTACTGGTAATGGTAACGGTAATGGTAATGGTAACGGGGTAGCGATTGGCAATGGCAATGGCAATGCCAATGGCAACATTAATGGTAATGACAATAACAATGGGATTGGCAATGGCAGTGACAATGATAATGGCCATGGCAATGACAACGGCAATGGTAAGTGTAATGGTAATGGCAATGGTAGTGGGAATGGGAACGGGAATGAGAATGTGAATGGGAATGGGAAAGGGAACGGGAATGGAAATGGTAGTGGTCGTGGTAACGGAAATGGGAATGATAGAGGTAAGGGTAAAGTTAAAGGTAGAGGTAAAGGTAATGGTAATGGAAATGCTAATGGTAATGGTAATGGTCATGGGAGTGGCAATGGCAATGGAAATGGTACTGGCAATGGTAATGGTAGTGGCTAATGGCAATGGCAATGGCAATGGCAATGCGAATGGTAATGGTAAAGACATAGGTAAGGGTAATGGTACTGGTAATGGGAACGGTAATGATAGTGGTAAAGGGGCAGCGATTGGCAATGCCAATGGCAACGGTAATGGCAATTGCAATGGCAATGGCAATGGTAATGGCCATGGCAATGGCAATGCCAATGGTAATGGTAATGGGAATGGCAATGGGAAGGGGAATGGGAATGTGAATGGGAATGGGAATCTGAATGGAACTGGAATGGGAATGGCAGTGGTAGTGGTAACGGAAATGGGAATGGTAAGGGTATAGGTACATGTAAAGGTAGAGGTAATGGTAATGGTAATGGTAATGGTAATGGTAATGGTAATGGTAATGGTAATGGCAATGGCAGTTGTAATGGTAATGGTAATGGTGATGTTATTGGGAATGGGAATGTGAATCGGAATGGTATTGGTACTGGCAATGGTAATTGTAGTGGCGAATGGCAATGTCAATGGTAATGGTAATGGTAATGGTACTGGCGAATGGCAATGGTGATGGTAGTGGCGAATGGCAATGGGAATGGTAATGGGAATGGCAATGGCAGAGGTAATGGGAATGGTACTGGGAATGGTAATGGTGACGGTAACGGTAGTGGTAATGGTTATGACAAAAGTAACGGGGTAGCGATTGGCAATGGCAATGGCAACGGCGATGGCAATGGTAATGGTAATGGAAATGGCAATGACAATGACAATGGTAATGGCAGCGGCAATGGCAATGGCAATAGCAATGACCATGGCAATTGGAATGGTAATGGTCATGGTAATGGTAATGGTAATGGGGATGGGGATGGGAATGGGAATGGGAATGATAGTGGCAATTGCAACGGGAACGGGAATGGAAATGGTAGTGGTAGTGGTAATGATAATGGCAATGGTAATGGTAATGGTAATGGAAACGGTACTGGTAACGGTAATGGCAATGGTGATGGGAATGGGGATTGTAATGGTGATGGCAGCGGTAATGGTATTGGTAATGGTAATGGTAATGGCAATGGTGTTGGTAATGCTAATGGTAATGGCAATGATAATGGTCGTGTCTAGTGGGAATGGTACTGGTAATGGTAATGGTAACGGTAATGGTAACGGGGTGGCGACTGGCAATTGCAATACAATGGCAATTGCAACGGCGCTGGTAATGGCAACGGCAATGGCAGTGGGAATGGCAATGGCAATGACAATGGCAATTGTACTGGCCATGGTAATGGTAATGGTAAAGGTAAATATAAAGGTAGAGGTAGTGGTCATGGTAACGTGAATGGGAATGGTAATGGTAATGGTATTGGGAATTGGAATGGGAATGGGAGTGGGAAATATTGAGAGGGAGAGAGAGAGAAAGCGAGAGAGGAAATATCAGAATAATGATGAGGAGCAACGTGACAGATCGTATAACATCGTCTGAAACCCACAGGGACTCCACAATCCCCCGGCCTCGAGAACGAGGAGGATGAGGGGGGGGAGGAGGAGGAGGAGGAGGAGGAGGAGGAGGAGGAGGAGGAGGAGGAGGAGGATGGGATGATAGGACGAGGAGGAGGGGCGAGGGCAACGGGGGGATACGGAGGGAGAGCAAGGGTGAGGACAGAGAGGGTAGGACGAGGGGAAGGGGGGGAGGGCGGGGGAGGGCAGGACGAGGGGGGTAGGACGGTGGGGGGGGGGAGGGTAGGACGAGGGGGGAGGGTAGGACGAGGGAAAGGGGGGAGGAGATCAAGCGGATGCGAGGGCAGAGCAAGGAGGATGGCAAGCAGCAGGAGCAGGATGAGGGAGATGGGGGGGCGCTCTTGGCAACTGAGGGGCGCTTTGGGGGCGATCTTGAAGAACATTGACCAAGCAAGATGGGAGCCTCAACTAGCCTGCCCACTCGGGAGCCCCACACATCGCCTCTTGGGGCGCTCTTGGAGCGCTCTTGGGCGCTCTTCTGGCCGTCTTGGGGCTCTCTTGAGCCTCTCTTGGGGCCCTCTTGGGCCATCTTGGAGTCATCTTCATCCTGAGGCCTCGGATGGCCATCAGAAGCGAAACGGCGAGGCAGCAAACCATAGTCTTTGTCCGTATGTGTTGGAAGCATTTGGGCCTCTTCGGGGCCTTCTTGGGGATTTCGTTGGCCACTTGGAGCCGTCTTGGAGCGTTCTTGGTGCCTCTTGGAGCATCTGTGGAGCCATCTTGAGGCATCTGTGGCTATCTTGAGCCATCTTGTATGTCATCTCGGGCTCTCCGAGGCCCTCTTGAAGTCGTCTTGGGCCATTTCGGACGCTCCATCTGCCCGTGGACCCCCGCGTCCCAGGTCCAGGGGAGAGGGTGGGGGGAGGGGTAAACCCCTCCACGAAGGGGAAACAGTGGGTTGGAAGAAGAAGCTCCCTGGACCACATACGCCGAGAGGGCAGGTGCGATTGGGTCGGGAAGCGTACGGGTTCTATCGTGTGCCCTCGATGTTCTGGAGCGCCCCCCCCATTGGAAAGCGACGAGCCCAACGGTGCCTTCGGGCTGGGTTGGGTGCTTGGCTTGGGTTGGGGTGGTTCGATAGGTAGTCTATCCCTCCCCTCAGAGCCAGCGTACGGACAAAAATCAAGCCATAGGTCTGCCGCAGTGTTCGGCCTCTAGACTCTAAAGGCCTTCGAACGACGACGCATGATGAAAGAAACGCCGACAGTGGGTCCAGACCGCTGCGGCGATCTCTGCCCTCTCCTCCTCTTCCTTGCCTCCCTCCCGTGCCTCCTGCTCCCCGCCTGCGGTCTCCGCTTGACCCCCCCATTCCGCCTGCCTGCCCGCTCCAACGCGCCCCTGGCTTCCTGCCTGCGCGCTCGTCGTCGTCCGCCTGCGAAGCAGTGACGAGGCGTCCTGGCTTGCCTATAGGCCCACCAGAGATTGTCCTGAGAGCCTTGCACGCACAACATGTCCTCAGAACACTTTGGGCTTGGACTGTGCGGTTTTAGCACATGGGTCATTGTTCTGAGAAATTTGCTCTTGTGTTTAGAGCATTCTCGGGTTCTATGCCTCGAACCTTTCGTGGTCAGCCTATAGGGATGCCGGGAATGCCGGGACGGTCGGCCCCTGCTCAATGCCGGCTGTTCCCTTCATCTTCCCCCTTCGCAGGGCGGCACAGTTTGCCCGGCACCAGCGTGGCGGCGCGCAAAAGCAACTTGGCGGCGGATCTCTGGGTCCCTCCCACCCCTCCCTTGCCACTGTCGGACGGGGCCAGGCCGAAGATAAATCCATTCCAGAGCTTTCCCGAGCGTTCTCAGAGCTTTGGAACGCTCTGAGAAGTAACCAGCGCCCGAGACAGTCTCCAGATCCACCCGATCTGAGAGAGTCTCGATTTGTCCTCACCCGATGGCATCCTTGTCTTGGCTCCTCTCAGACGAGTCAGACACTTAGACGTCGGCTCCGGGCTTCTGTCGAGCTTGCACAATCAGTTGATATTGCCCTGCCCTTCCCGCAGGGCTCCGTCGAGCTCCTGCGGCGCTCGCTGTGCTTCGACCCCGACGCGCGGCTCACGGCGCGGGAGCTGCTGCGCCACAGACGCCGCGGCGGCCTTGTAGCCACGCCCGGCGGCGAGCCCAGGGTCGCGGGCGACTTTTCTCCCCGAGTCCCCCCGTGTCGCCTGCGGTATAAAACCTTGGGATGCGCCCCAAGGGGGCTGTTCTGACGCACCTTCATCGAGGACAGGCGCCCCCCAATCGTATGTACATCCCAGGGTTGGGCCCAAGGGTGTTGGTGCAGTCGAAAACCCCACGAAGCCTGGGACAGGAGTCGACGTATCCCCTGCTACAGGGGGGGGACGTGGGAGGGGGCAGGCCTTCTTAGAAGGCTCGGGAGGCTTCGGGCCTTGGGAGCAGTTTCCTACATAAGCCTTCCCCGAAGACACGGACTACCTCTTCGGATGCAACTCCTGGGAGGTCAAATTCTGATTTTGCCCTGGTCCGAAATCCGGCGTCATCCCGCTCCATCCCGCTCAGTCCGGCTCAATCCCGTTTCATCCCGCTTAATCCGAGGCCCACTCCGGCGCAGCGGCCCCCCAATGGGGCTCGATCCTCCTTGGCCCGTCCGACGAAGACCTCCCACTTTAAGGATAGCTCTCTTGGGAAAAGCTATATAGGATCGGGAGTATAGCTCGCGCGCCGTTGCCTTTGGCTCAAGGCACGCGCGCCCTATTTGCCCGGACACTGCGTGTGTTCGCTATGTGCTGGAAAGATCACTACATTGATCTTATCTTATCTTATCCGTCCTCTCCCCATCCTGAACCAACACAGCATGGCATTGGACGTTATCTGCCATCCGCTTCCCATGGAACCGGATGCTATTTGACTTACCATAGTCATTTCAGTATTGCTAGCGGAGCTGGCCGCACTCTCGTGTGGTCAGCTCTTGCTCTTCTTATCCTCGCGCTATCCGGCACGATCTTCGTGACCAACTACCACCCTGCGCCACCACTCCAACTACATTTGCGAGGATCAATCCAAGATGAAGAAGCAACACGAGAGGTACGACGTCTAGACAACAACATTGGTACCTTATACGCTTCATCACTACGCTACTATCAACCGCTCGGCAACGAGCCAAAAGCGCAGTACTTGAAACAGAGGCGGGGAGACCCGCAAGACAAAACGCCTCGCAGACTTGACAAGGCGCTACAAGCCCTACCCCAGCGCGGCAACGCGCCTGATAACCACCCATGCCTTCACAGCCTTGGGTTGGTTATCTTCGCCATCATATGGCTTGCGCTGGGGGCAACAGTCGGACACATGCGCCGAGGAGACAACAACACCGATGGGCGAACACACGGCCCATACTGAGACCCTCAAGGCAACGTACCTTTTTCCGCGAGTGCGTTTATGAGGTCAACGCGTGGCTCAACGTCACAAGCGGACGCATGACGCCACAGGCCCAAGCAGCCGCCATACAACGCGGCCTGGGTGGCCTGACGAGGGCACTCGCCATGAGGGTACCACCTGACATTATAAACTACGGTGCGGACATCGATGGTGTCCACACCGACCCAGTAACTTACATCATGCTCCTCTTCAGCATGAAGTTCGAACGCCTGGAAGATGAGCGCCAGTTCACTTCAGGCACAGAGCTCATCGACTTTCATGTGCCCCACGGAAAACGAATCGATGTAACCCTCACTCGGTTCGAGATGGCCCGTCTTGAGGCACAGTCGGTGGGGCTTGACCTTCCCAACTTCCAACTGCTCACTACTATCCTATTCCGCGCCCTAGGCGTCGGCAGCCAGAGAGCCACGCAACTCTTGCAGCCACTCAACCACCAAATGCCCCGAACACAACAACAGTATGATGAGTTGTGCGAGAGGATGCGTTCGATAGGCCATTTGTCGGAACGGTCTCTTGGCAACATCGGATCAGTGTTTGGGAGGGGAAGGGGAACTGGTAGTGGAAAATTCTATATTACCTTAGCCACTGAAGCTCAGCCTGGCAACGGGCCCTCAAGCATATGGGCCGACGATCTTGGAGAGCCTACTGCCCTACTAACAGGGGATCGATCACAACCAAGCTGGGCAATCGGCCCTCCTCCTAGAGAACCTCAACCACACCGTTCCCTATGGGGTGAAGCGGGTCCCCTAAACGACGGTGTATCCACCTACCTAGGAAATGACGATTTCGACTCTGGCACCGACACCGACACCATATCATCAGATGGTATTGAACCCTTAGGTTGGTCAGATATCATGCAAATGGAAGGTGGCAATCAGCGTGCCGAACACCTGTTCTGGTTATTACAACAGGCAATGCGGAGGTGGGGGAGGTTCACACCAAAAACAAGTGCGTCGCGTTAGGAGGAGGATACGGAGGAGCTTCAAAGGAAAAGGTGAAGGCAAACGGGGTCGCCGTAGGTTGAATGGACGAGGCATCTCGGCTTCCTTCAGAGGCTTTCAGATGATCAGTATGATGAGGTATATTTTCGTTGGGAAAGGCAGTGGAAAAGGCCGTAGAGATACCTCAGGCAAAGGTGAAGGTAGGCAGGGCAACCCGCGAGGTAGAGACGGCCAGATCCTAAAGTGCCATGAGTGTGATAGTACCGATCATCTTGTAAAAGACTGTCAATCGAAGGGGAATGGAAAGGGCAGGTCGACCGATGTCCAATTCGGCTCAAGTGAACCTGTTTTTGAATATCTGAGCCTCCAAGATTCTGAGGCCATGGAACAGATATTTTTCACTTGGGCCAGCAGCGTGGACAACCTGGATGAGCTCGAGGCGTACGGCCATCGACTGTACGCGTACTACCTCGAGTACCTCCGCAGGTTGGTTCTCGGAAATATCGAGCTTACGCCTGTGGAGAATGGGGCGCTGGGAAACCAGCCCTTATCATTCTTCGACTGGATGTTCGGCAACCCAGGCAACATCATGGCCTACGAGAGCAGCGACGAGGATGTCACTGTTGAGGCCTCGCCTTCGGAGGTTGACCACAACCTTCGACATCAACCCGACCTTATGCTTGGAAACAGGCCCATTCCAGTATATCCTCCAAACTATGCCGATCTGATGGAATTAGAATCTCAAGCACTCACTACGGGCGTGCCAGGGAACCCATACGTACCACCTGGCTCGCTCGCTCCAGGCGAGTATGGACCGCGCACGATACTGCAGACCTTCATGCAGATGCACGCTGTATTGGTCGTAGCATACCCCGAGAGTCAAGAGAGTGTCGAGAGTGGCCACATGATGCTACAAGACACCGATGCCTGTGACGACTCGGAGCTAGTGCTAGCGGCCCTTACTCTCATCGACAGTGTGCACCCTGAGGACGTGCAAAGACATGTGTGGTATTCCAGAGGGAGATGGCGCGAAGCACTCGAAAGGGCCATCTCCATGCGTGGTCAGGCTCTTCCTCCGCCAGGATGGGGTCTCCAGGCGGCGGGATTACGGCCCAACAACACGGCCATGCGAAATATTATCCGGCAGCCTACACATGACTATGATCATCCCGAGGCGCACGCTATGCTCGGTAACGAGCCTGAGCCGACCACCGTACCGCCGACGCCGGGACAGCCAAGCGATGCTCAGACGCTCGTACAGCAGGGAAACCTGCCCGTCCTGGCTGGACCGATGACCGTCGTCATCGGCAACCTTATGTCAGAAGATGAAGAGGGCGATGGATGTGGGATGTGCGAGGACGAGACCACCATCCTCATGATGGAAGTCAATGGTGAAGACGAGGAGGTGGGTTTCAGCCCCGACAGTCCTGACACACCACCACCTGCACAAGAGCCAATTGTGCCAGACTCCAGTCAGCAGGGGGGCCTGCCTGCCCAAGATGCGCCGCCTGCGGCCCCGCAGGAACCCTTGCCGGTTCCTGCCCGGGCTGCGTGAGCGGCTTCATCTGATGAGCATGCCAGAAGGTCTCTCTCGCATCCACGCCTTAGGGGCGACCCTCGCCCTCAAGCACGGCCCCCACGCGAATGGAGGCAAGCAGGCCCATCTGAGCATGCCGCTCGACGAGGGGGTCAGTTGCTCGCCTACAACGACCCTAGGCGTCAAGCGGGTGAGCATTCTGCCTTTCGAAAAGGCAGCCCAGCCTACAGGGATGCCCAAGGCAGGTCCATACGGGGTGGCTACCAGCTCGCGACGAACATTCGTCGTCCTGAGATAAAGGCAGTACGGACGCAGCTGCGGAATGTCATTGCGGCGCGCAAGCTAATCAGGCCCAGCGCAGTCTGTGGGCCGTGCTCAGAGCCACTCCAGGAGCACAGGCCTGGGTGTCCTGTAGGGCTCAACGAGGGCTTGAGCCCGAATGGAGGCCGCACTCCTGCCAAGGAGGCTCATCCACCGTTGGTTCCTATGACTCAAGCAGAGATTGACGAGATCAACCGTCGTCTCGGAACCACGGCTCATAGGAGCCCGATGGCCGAGGAGGTCCAGCCTCCGAGGGGACTTGTGCCTATGACCCAGGAAGAGAAAGATGCGCTCAGTCGCCTTCCTGGAACGCGGGGAAACCCGCCTGGCGTCTCCAGTCAGGCCCAACAGCCAGAGATGATGGATGACGATGAACAGAAGGCTCAGCGAGCCGCAGCAGATGCGGAGCGCAGACGAGTGGCAGACGAACGCACCCGCGAGGCAATTCGCCAAATGCTGCTGGAGTCCCAAGAGTTTTATATGCAGAGGGCCAAGGAAGCCCCCGCTCCAACCGAAGGCCAAGAGCGAAACACGTGCACCCAGGACGCCTCCGGGGGAGAGACAGAAAACGTCAGCCCGCTCAGAGGAACTCGGGTTAGATGTGCAGATGGGGATGCCTCGTTCTGAAACGCCGAGGCCGCCGACTAGAGCAACTCCAGCGCAGAGACCCGACCCTAGGCAACAACCTCAGGACTCCGTGGAAATCCGCAGACGACCGCCTAGCCGTAGCGGCTCTATTGCCGGCAAGGCCAAAGCTTTCGAGGGTGCAGGGTTTACCCCTGCACCGGCCTCGCCTGTGGCGGCGCGCTCCAAGAGGTCTGAGGAAGGTGCCCTATCTAGGGGCACCTGGGCGCCTACGATCAAGGGCAGCGCCAGCCGAGAAACACTGC